CTTTAAGCAAACGAGCCGAACACGAACACACTTTTTGAGCTCGAAATATAAACGAGCCAAACATAAGTTGAGTCTGAGCTCGCTCGTGTTCGGCTTTTTTACACCCTTAGATATGAGGCTTGGGGTACAAATTAAAATTATCAAATTTTAGTTGTAATTGCCAAAATTTGGCCATTACAACAAGTTTGCTCAAGCTGGAGCTTGTTTACTAAAGCTCTATTTGAGCTCAAGCTGGCATGATTTGAGTATTTATAGTAATGTTCAAGTTTGGTTCATTTAAAACTATAATTGTTTGAGTTTGGCTTCAGCGTTGCTCATTGGCTAACCAAACGAGCCTATGAATGAGTATGACTACTGAGTACCTTGTTAGTTAATTGAATAAACCATATCAAACCTATTAATAAGTAGTGTATTGGAACTAAATTATTTTTTTAATTGGCTAAATTGCTGAATAAATGAATATTTTAATGAGCAAAATGTACTTTGTGCAGATGAATAAAATATTTAATGGAGTCTTAATGTATTGTGCTCATTGAAAAGATTAAGAATATCACATTATCGCATGTTAAATAAATTTTTAATGAAGTCTTAATGTTGAGCCTTAATCGAGATGCTTAATGAGTTTATTCATGGGCTTCAAATGATATTGTTTATTATCATAAATAAATTGAACGCCAAACTATTTAAGCTTGTTCTTTTGTCAATTGAGTATTTATGAAAGGGTTTAAGCTGGTTCAATTAGTTAATTAACTTATTGTGTATGAGTTCTAATTGTGTTGAGCCACAAGTAGTTTGTCTGAATTTATTGGTTCATTTGTAGCTTTAGATATGCCCACTAACAATATTGCTCGATCAATCTCATGCTATTGTTGATTAGTCATCCACTCACTATGATTAAAGATGTAAAATGACAAGTCACACCAATTAATGTTTCAAACTTAAGGTTCCTTTGTAACAATATCATTAATTATGAATTTAGAGGATTAATTAATCAATTCAATGTTAGCAACCCCATGCATGCACCATCGGCTTGAATAAATTGGTTTCCCCTCCTTGTGTTTTGGGTTTGGTAATATAGTTTTTGGAGAATATCACGAAAACATTAGTTCGCTTGCTAAAATACAAGTGGAATAGCTCAATATTTTTTTGATATCTAATCGCTAGTAATCACAAATCAAACAAACTTATAATTTAGTAACCACCATATACATGAATGCAACGATTAACGTAGAAAGTAAAATTGGGGGCTTGACACAGCTCTGAATTTGTAGATTCTTCACTCATGGAATCTAGCAATTGGATGCTCCTTATTGTCAAAGTAGTTCTTGCAACCACCAACTACCAAATGAAAACATCTCTTTATGGCTTTGTTGTGTCTTTTAGATTTCGACCATAAATATCCAACACTTCTTGTACACGCAATGTACATGATTTTCAGGAGATTGTTTTTAACCTCAAAAGTTTATCATTTATATATATCATATACATGAGAAGCATGCACAACCATATATTGAAGGCAAAATCAAGAAAATTATATGAAAATAAGTAATTTGAGATTATTACTAATAAAGTATGGACATGGGATGGTTTTATAACAAAATAATCTGCACTTCAAATTAGAGAAATATGATACTCTTAAGATTAAATTGGGCTCGCACAAATAATTGAGGGATTATTTTGAGATTTATACCCATTTAATTTATAAAATCAGTTAACTAATGAATGATTTAAAACTATCAGATTCAATTGATCCACATCTTCAATCAACTTCGATTGAAGTAATGTTATCAATTTTTTTTTTATTCACCTTATCTATTAGACTATAAAAATTGAAATATCATCACTATTGTCAAATGCTTTATCAACTGTAAATAATGATGCAATGTTTTCTATTCAAACTCTACCACTATTTTTTATATTGTCAATCAGCCCAAAGAGATGATGAGTTAGGCTTCCAAATGAGATTTAAACCTCAATCAAAATAACCTCCTTGTACTTGGAAAATGGTTTAATATCATTTTGCAAAGTGCTAATATAGCCTGTTCAACATCGCAAGGAAACTTAATACCTATAAAATAATAATAATAATAATAATAATATAAATATGACAATTTAATCAATAAAGTTGTCTTACTAATTTTTTGCTCTGCAATTTGGATGTAACCATTCAATTTAAATTCACCTCAACAATTATTCAATGCCATGTTAAAGTATTATTACTAATTGCATGAGAAAACTATAGCACAATACAGATGATACCACCACCAACCACGGTGGCCAAAACAATATTGTTTGAAGGATACAAGGATATATCTATCCAACTTCAAACTAGACTATTATGCTAACCGATAAATATGTCCACCTAATAGCTGTACTTAGAAATGGCTCATCCAACATTAAGAATAATGATGTTTATGTACAAGTCACACAAGGTAGTCTTATAGCCATGATATTCTCTTGCAACAACATTACTAATTATCAGGTTAGAACTGATCAATCAATTACGGACATATTTTGCAATTTTAGGTAATAGAGCTACATTCTCATACTTTTGGAGTAAGGCTTCCACTCAGGGAATCATTACCATTATGCTTGAATTCTTGTTACCTCCCAAAGGGAATAGGCCATCAGTACTAGTTTCCATATCCATGCCAATAATCATGGGTAAAAAATCCTCATAATCAAATAAACATCACTATATGAACTCAATATGCCAAGCAGGAAAGTACAACAAAAGATTTGGCTTAGTTATTTTTTCTTTCATCGTTTTTAATTCTCGGTATATTTAAGAAATTTCTATCAAATTGAAGTTTGCATTATAGTTCCTGAAAAACTATAACCAAGACGTATTTTCTGAAACTTAAAAGATGTGGTCCATAGTTTATATTTATTTTCATGCATTGTATGCATAAAATGATACATCCATTGTGATATGTTGAATATGGACTTCACATGCTTATAAAATAGAATTATTTTCAATACTTGGATATCATATATTTACCTTAATGGACCAAGATCATACACGGACACACAAAAGTTCCCTTCATGAAAACCACGGCTCAACTTCTTCAACATTTATTCCTTATTTTTTGTTTCTTACTTAAAACTACTATGTTTTAGTTTATCACCCAAATTGAATTTAGATTTTCAGGAACTTGCCTGAAGTTAGGAGTGCTCATGTGATCTTAGGAGTACCAACTGTGAGTGCTCGCTTTGGTACTTCCCCCTTCTTCTGGAATTGGGGAATGGAAGCTTTAGCCAGCATTGTTCCTGCTGTATGCCCATATCTTTAATCTAGTTTTAGTTGTCAAAGAATTTTTACTAATATATTTTGGGGGATTATTTTGAAATAGTTTGGCATGACTGCCATATTCTTCTTGTTTATAAAAAGCATATAACAAACATTTGATCTAACATTCACTCTTTTTCAGAGTATTCTTAGAGATAAGACTAAAGTCCAACAATTGGTTCAACTTTTTGATCCTTTTGTACGTGCTATAGATGGTATTGCTGGAGAACGTGTATCAATGAGAGTAAGTAGTTACATGGAGCATCTAGTGGGGAAATTTCTTACACGTTCTTGGTTGATAAAATAAAATCATATATGAAACTTTTTTGAATTTATTTTAGGTGGACCTCGATTGCACTAATGGACGGAGTACTCTTGGACTGTTTACTCACAAAAGACTGTCTGTGTAAGTTGTAGACATTAAATTTCTTTTTCATTTGAGAAAACGATTTATGTGCATGATTTCAAAAACTACTACAGCACCAACATAGTACTTTTTGCTGGAGTATGTATATTTATTGACAAAAATGCTGGGTAAGCATTAAGGTCTCATTTAGTGCGACTTGTCTTCTGTTTGCTTTTTTAAAATATTGTTTTGGTTTATACTGAAATATACTTATAAATTACAATTTTATTTGTGTACCTTCTTCATTGATTTGATGGTCATATGGATTGATTTATGGAGCAACTTGTATTTCTTAGTGAGATTTTAGTAACTTTTTTTATCACATCAACACTTTCATCCATGAGCCTTATCACAACTATTTGGGTCCGATTTAGTAGTTCACATTTTTTTTTATTTCTGCTAAGTGGGTGTTAATCTTATAACTTTGTGAATATGTTTATTTTTCTTCCTTATTTTGCCATTCATTTTACTTCAATCATCACAACGACAATGTAAGATCGACACGACCATTCTAAAGTAACTATAGATAAAGAATTTTACTAAATCAAAATTTCAAATATGGATTGTTGGTTTATCAAACTTAAGTGTAGGTAGCGTGCAGGTTACATCCAAAACCGAAAGTCAGTAATAACCCACTAATTCTGAGAATTTGCCAATTTAGATTGTTGTACTTTCTGTGTTATGGGTACATAATTCCTTTCAGGAAGTAAGCAAGGAACCATTCTTCTTAGCATGGTACGAACCTGTGCCACCTCACAGATGAATTCTGATTCTCAATAAATTAAGCCTAGAAGACCCATCTACAGTGAAACTTCTATGCTTATTGATGTGATGAACTTAAACTTAACAGAAAAAATTGAGAGGTTAATGCTAGGTCATGAGCTTTTATGTATCAAAAAATTTGCATTGGTAACTTAGTGATAGTGAAGGGAAATTTTATATTAAAACATTAGTAACATTGTCGGCAATAAACTGTGTGTGGTGAAGTTGCCCGTAGGAAGCTGTCAGTCACCGGAATTTAAATCTCGTCGCCCGCTTCGGAAGGACGCTTTAATTTACATATAGATTTAAATTTAAAATCAAATATAAAAATCAAACTGACCCCATATTTTTAATAGTTTAAATGAAAGTGCGTTTTACCTCAAACTCTGTGTCTGTCCCGAGGGATAAACACAAGATTTGAGGATGAAATTCGATCAAATAAACTAAAAAGTACATGACGTCCGTTTGATCTGCGAAACCGTTTTATTTGCCGACAAATTCCCCTATTTAATATGAAAAATTAAATAAGAAACTATTTAATATGAAAAATTAAATAAGGTTTATTTTAAGCTGGGTTTGGAAAAGCTCTTATAAGGGCAAGACCCTATAGTTAATTACATCTTAAATGACCGAAATCACTTAAGAATAATCTTGATAAAAATCAGGAAAAATTTTCTTCAATAAAATTTCTTCAATGACTTCAAAAGGATGAGACTTTTCAACGAAATCGGACAAAGAGGTGTGAAAAGGGAATTACTCAAATTTGGAACATTTATTACAAAATCTAAAGGAAGAAGAATTAGGGGATGCCACGGATCCAGAGGAGATCCTCAGTAACTTTCCAGTCTACCCTATGATTTGACTTCAATTTTGAGGAAAAAATTATTCAAATATTTCATTCTGCCAATTTTATTTATTTAGGGCTTATGTTCGTGTGAAACAATCACACAAATAGCCTAACAGATGTGAGGGTTTAGGTTGTAACGAACGACAACCTCAGAATCCTAAAACGAGTTAGGGTTTAGATTGTATAACAGAGCCATATGAATACCTAACGAAAAGGTTGAAGATTTATGTCGTGTTAGGCGAACAACCTCGAAATCCTATGGATTGTTATTTTAATTTCTAGGAAAGGAATGGTTTAGCTTGGGAAGACATATTCTGCTGGTTGAAGTTGATCGTGCTGCCCCCCGCGCGCTAGTTCCGAGCTCCTCGTCGTGGCGAGTTTAAGTTTCCTAGGGTGTCAGGTTATAATATCAAATCCAGCGGCCATATGGTTGTAGTCCTTCAAATATTTCATTAATAACATGTTGAAGTTGTACAGTATATGGCATGACAGTATAGTTGTAGCACAGGACAAACAGTAGAGTATGCAGTAAAGAAAACAGTACAACATGCAGTGTAAAGAAAAGTAAAAGGTACAGCAGGGAAGTGATTATAAGAGAATAACATGATGTAAACATAAAACAAATATGTATACCTTGGAGATCCGTTGTTCTTTAGGTGTAATTGATGCAACAGGTACAAGCAACAGGACTTGAGGAAGCATGCTGAAATGTTTTATATAAGCGAAAAACAAAGAAACATCGTCAAGAAATCTCGAAAAAGATCGTCAAAAGACTCACGACAAGAGAAATGCGAGGAAAACAGTGAATCGACAAATCGATTAAAATTGTAGAAAATACGGGAAAATCTCGAAAAGAGACCACGAGTGCTTTGTCCAAAAAAAAAATTCCGAGAAAACATATGAAAAAGTCCGAAAAGAGGGGAATCGCAAGCACTCGGGTCGGGGCTAGGCTCAACTATATATTAGTACTCGAGGGTTGTCGAAGGCTACACGGTCACCCGGATGTATAAAACCCGCCACTCAACTAGAAGGGTGTCCTATCGAACCTAACTCAGGAGGGTACTTCTCAGCCTAAACAGGTGATCAATAGATGGACAACCGATGTTTAAAATGCATTTAAAATTTATATTTTCAACATGCACATAGGCTTCAAATATACAAAAAGTGGGTTGTATCAATTTTGTTTGTAGCGAAAAGTGTATTTTTGTTTTAAAAAATGCATATCTGTTCTTATAAAAATTTGTTTTTATCAATTTTAAAAAGTAGTTGTCTACGAATCGAATGCGCTGTCGGGCATAAGGCCAATAACCTAAGAAGGTTCGGGTTAACTCCCGCTAATCTTGTGTCGGTGAATGATATTGTTATCCTACAGCTCACTGGGTTCCTGAATCGGATCCTGATGTCGTAGGATGACATATCATTATGCTTTATATCCGGTGTGCCTTTGTCATCATCGCCCTAAGCCCCAAAACAAAACCGACCTACTTGCGACCTTGCTTGATGGTTTCACGTATAACAAAAGGCTATACGTGGACACTTATGTATCAGACATAAACATAAAAAACCGAAACAAGAAACAAGGAAAAAGGGAACAAAAATGGGGTGAGAGAGAGGAGGGACTGATTCAACTAAAAATATCGAAAAGAACGAAGGATGAATCAACTCTCAAAACTCGTGACTAAAAGACCTAAAAAGGAAAGCCCGAAGATCCATGAATCTATCTGAAAGGGTATTATTTTCTCACATTTTTTTATGAGTGGCTTAACCTGAGTCAAAATGGCCTCACACACCAGTGACTTCCTAACATCGGTGCCCAGCTCCCAAAGACGTCTGAAATTTATTCCAGCCAAATGTTTTTAAAAAATGAGACTTAGAAATACCCCAATCTTCACAAAAGGAAAATAACCCGTGCAAAAAGCAGGATCTTCCAACTTTCAAATCAATCAATGGGCTCATATATCAAATAAGTATTAAAACTTTCCATAGAACTAAATAAATGCTCACGGCCGGGGTTAATAGGTGAGAATATAGCCACCAAGATTTTTGGTCAAGGCAAAACAGGACCAAAGAGACTCGCGGTCAAGACAACCCAAGGCACAGAAGGAGAGGAGGCTCACGGTTAAGGCAACCCAAGGCCAAGGCAACCCGAGACACAGAAGAAGAGGAAGCTCACGGCTAAGGCAACCCAAGGCCAAAAGAGGCTCACACCTAAGGCAACCCAAGGACAAAAGAGGCTCACGGCCAATTAACCAAATCAATTATATGAAGATATTTGATATACATAGGAGAGTGAATGGACAAACCCTCAAAAAGCCTCCAAACCGACTCCAATTTCACCAAGTAGGACATAAGGAAACTGTTCAACCCATTCTTCAATCACCTCACTTTATAGATAGGGCAAAGACATACATTTAAACTTGACTCATCGATCAACTCCCAAGCCACTCTACTTGTAGAAAGAGCCAAACAACCCCAAAGGATTGCCAGCAAGCTCACGGGTAGGGGTAGGAACTAAAGCATCTGATCTTGTAGCGAAAAGTGTATTTTTGTTTTAGAAAAATGCATATCTGTTCTTATAATGTTCTTATAAAAATTTGTTTTTATCAATTTTAAAAAGTAGTTGTCTACGAATCGAATGCGCTGTCGGGCATAAGGCCAATAACCTAAGAAGGTTCGGGTTAACTCCCGCTAATCTTGTGTCGGTGAATGATATTGTTATCCTACAGCTCACTGGGTTCCTGAATCGGATCTTGATGGGTTCCTGAATCGGATCCTGATGTCGTAGGGTGGCATATCATTAAG